AGATTTGGAAAAGGGCCTTCGCACTTGTACTTTCCATTTCAGAGAGTTGCTGTGAAGATTGAACGTGGTAATCTATTGCAAGTGCCTATCGTGTACAGTCATCCCTATGTATCCAAGAGGGATGGGTTCCAGGACCTCTGAGAATACCAAAATCTGAGGATACTCAAGTCCCTTATATAAAATGGCATAGTGTCTGCATATTACTTATGCAGGTCCTCCTATATAATTTAAATCATCCCTAGATTACTTAGAATACCTAATACAATGCAAATGCTTTGTAAGTAGTTGTTATACTCTACTGTTTAGGGAATAATGACAAGAAGAATGTCACTATTTTTTGTTTGTATGTGTTCAGTAGAGACACAACCTATCTTAGATCTAACTACATAGCACATGTCAGCAACAACATAACATTTTTTCTATGAATATTTTCAGTCCCTGTTGGTTGAAATCACAGGTGCAGAACCCACAGATATGGAGGGCTGATTATAAGTCGCTAGTTGTTACAGACCCCTGAAATATGACCTTATTCATTAAATTGTATTTATTGAATTCCTACCATGCGCCAAAGTGAGTGGAGGATGATGGTGGTGGGAAGGCAGGATAAAAGATGTCACCTTTGTCCTCAAGGAGCCCTGCTCTAGTGAACGACAGATGTGCAGGGTGAGGAAAGCTGGGCGAGAGGGCAGGTGGCCTTGTAGACATGGCTTGCCAGAGAGGGACCTGGAGCCTGCTGGCATGGACACCAGCTGAGCCAAGTGATAGGCATGCAGATGGATTTTCTGAGTAAAGGATCAAGGATGCAAGAGGGTGGCTGCTGTACTTTGGGGGACTGCAAGAAGTCTTGTAGGACTGGGTCCATGGCAGGGCCATAAGAAAAGGCAAACAGGTGGGAAGAGAGTGCAACCTGAAATGCTTGATGAATCAGTGAAAGAGTTTGGATTTTACCCTGGAGGCCATGGACACATAGCCAAGGATGAGAGTGACATCTTTGAGTATATATGTGTGTATATCCTTAATATGTCATTATTTATTTTTATTTTTATTTTTTATTCCTCACCCAAGGTTATATTTCTATTTGTCATCAGATAGAGTGGGAGGGAGGGAGGGAGAGAGAGAGACAGAGAGAAACATCGATGTGATAGAGCCACATCAAATGGTTGCCTCCCACACAACCCAACCAGGGCCAGAGACCAACTGAAACCGAGGTATGTGCCCTTGACCAGAATCGAACCCACATATCATTGGTCTGTGGGCCGATGTTCTCACCACTGAGCCAAACTGGCCAGGGCTTAAGATGTATTTATTTATATCAGTTACTATTTGTTTAATATTAATCAGTATATGACTTTGTGTGTGTGTGCACATATTATTTCCTCTCCTAGATTAATATTTTCTAGTATAGTCTGTGTAACAGAATAGACAAAATATTTAAATAACTACCAAAATGCATAATATATTAATTGTCCCCCCAACTATGTACACTTGATTTTTTAACTGATAAATTAGGCTGTCCTCTTAGAGAAAATATGAAGCACTTCCGGTTAATGCTGATGATGTAGGAACAGCTCTTGAATTTGCTCTTATCATTCTTGTTGATGATTCTCTCTTTGAAGTCATTTGACCAAGTTAAAACATTTAAAATGTTTAGCCCATTAGTCTTACTTATGGTTTTATCATTAATGATATTTAACTAGAAGAATGACATCTTATTAAGGAAATAACCCATCTGCTTCAGGCCCTTGATTCTGCAACAACACTTACTGAATTATATGAAAACAAAAACAAACAAAGCAATTTATTTATAATAGGGAGGAATAGGAATTATTTTAGGGGGTTCTCTTTATTTTTAATTGAATTTATTGGGGTGACATTGGTTAATAAAATTATATAGGTTTCAGGTATATAGTTGTATAATACATCATCTATTGTATTGTGTGTTCACACTAGGGTGTTCTTTTTAGAATAGTCTTTATTATGTATTTATTACTTTAATAATTTTTATTAATCCCTACATTCTCATCCCAGAGATCTCTTCTGTGGCCTTCTTCTTGTTATCCCATCCAGTCTAACTGTGGGGACACAGAAAACAACTGAAAGGCAGCTATAACGTCCCTTATGAACCAGGCCTGCTTTCACGGAGGGAGTAATACCGTTTATGATGGTTCAAAACCAGGAAGGGAATCTTCATACCTGCCCTTAGCTGAGCAAGGTGGAAGAGTCGCAGCCACTGCAGCCTGGTGACTGCTTGTGAGGCACTGGTGATGGCAGCTTAGACTGTGACACTCCGTGGGGGCTCTAGTCACTCCAAAAGAATTGTGAAAATCTGGGGGAGAAAGTGTCAACTTTAATTTTCACTTAATTAAAATAGCTATTCTATAACATTTTTTAGTGGTGGGACTGTGGGGTGTGTGTGTGTGTGTGTCCGCACACCCGTGCACGTGCATTCTGGGAACCCAAAGAAGTAGATGTGTTAGGTGACAAGCATAAGAGGAGTTTCATGCCTAAAAGAATCTCAGCTGCAACAATGTCTCTAAGGAGAGGGTTTAATCGGATGACCACTAAATGTGCCTTTAAGTTGGAAAACTGAATAAGGCTGTTGGTCACATAAACAACCTCCTGCCCATGATTTCTGCTGCCCCAGTGGTTCTTTGCCACAAACGCTCAGGAACAAGTGCCCATTATTCAACCAATTGTTTGTCACCTTATACCTTGTTGTTAAAGTCCTTATTGAGAACATTAGTATTAGACAGATTATTAAGTCAAATTAACAAACATTTATATATGGCTTAGATTAATCTCTACCTTCCAAATAAATAACACGTAAAGACAGAGTTGCAGTGATGCCAGCATAACCTGAGGGCAAGTGGGGAATTACTTTCCTGCCCTATGTATGTGTCTATACTGAAACCATTAACCCTAGACTTGAACATTAAACAATGAATGGAGTAGTGGCATTCAGACTGACCTTTCTGATTTCCAACTATGCCCCTCTTGGTGTAGTAGATTGTCTCCAAATATAGCTACCAACAGTTCTCCCTATTTCATTCATGCATGTGGCTTCTCCATCATTATGTTGAATCTGTTTCTTTCCCCTTGAATCTGGTTGGCCATGGCTTGCTTTGACCAATAGAATGTGACCTGGCAGTTTCCATTTTTGCCCTGATGGAAATCCTGCCATGTAAAGAAGTCTAAGCTATTCTACTAGAGAGACCATGAGAAGAGAGGTCTTGGAGAATGAGAGGCCATGTGGAGGGGAACCAAGGTACCCTGCCAATGACCAGCACCTACAGCCAGATGTTCACGTTAGACCATCTTGATTGTCTTACTGCCGGCCAAGATCCCACTGACACTTTGTGGAACAGATGACTTGCTCAGCCAGCCCATAGAATCATGAGTAATTATAAATTCATTTTTTAAGCCACTAAATTTCGGGGTAGTTTGTTACATAGCAGTAGATAACAGAAACCCTTGGTGTGGCTCTGGGCAAATGATTTGACTCTTCCCAACTTCAGTTTTCTCAGTCTGTAAATGGGAATCATACAAATGATCCCCGCCTCACAGGTTTGTCATGGTGACCAGTAAGATAATATAAGTAAATATACTGGGTACACTGTACATTGAATTTAAAATGCTAGCTGTTGAATTCTTATTCCTTCTTTATATCCTCCCAAAGAATCACTTGTTTTACCTGAGGGCTTTTTGTTATAGTGCAGAGGGAAGGCAGGTTCCTATAAAAGGTATACATGCAAAGAAAGCCACCTCAATCATGACATTTAAAACATTTTTCTTGGTTATTTTTCTCTACATTTAACCCTTTTTCTTTTGACAGTTTGATATGTATACATGTATGTATGTGGTGAACTATTTGCAAATATAGAAACATTTCGATGTTTGGTTGAGAAGTTCTCTTCTAAATTACTTCATGTAGGTCATGTAAATGAAAAGGTTTGGACATGGAACATATTCTCTTTTCTGCTTTTAAGTATGGAGCTGAAAATTATTATTTCAGTATGGAGTTTTACATACATATAAAGCATGTAGAACAGAGTTTGGAACATAGTAAGTTCTTAATAAGTATTAGCTGTTAGTATTATAATAAAGGCATGTCCCCTTTCTGTAATCTCTCCATTCCCCATTATCACCTGCTCCAAGCTTTTCACGGAGAGTTTGGCTTCATCTCAGGGGTCTGAAAAAGAGATAAAGGACCTTGGAGTAAAATGTCTCATCAGGTGTGGTCAGAAGTATGTCACCAGGCAGAAATTCTTATTTTATCTCCTCAATTCCACTTAAGGGGGGCAAACTGTGTAGTGGTATGTGCTGGCCTACATCATAGGTAAGAAAGACAAATATACAGTTGTGGAAAGGAAAGATGCATGAGGATAAAAAGGGCAAAAATTGTGTGTGTCAGAGAGAGAATGGGGAGGAAACATACATGAAAAGGAGGGTAGATGCTGTCCTCAGAAAGGATAAATTATAAGGCTCTTCTGTTGATACATTTTAATGAGAATGAAGACTAATCATCCTCTTAGCATAGAAAGGTCTTTGCAGAAGCATTTCAGGAATTTGTGTTCTGCAGATGTTCTCAAAGATGCTGAATGTGCATTACAGAAGGCTCCCTCTTAAGAATGACAGTTTCTCGGGCATGTATGTGTGTGTGGACTAGGGAGGAGGGAAGAGGCAGTTCAAGGGGAACGTGTTCTAAAATGCTTATGAACAGAAATTCAAAATCAGCTTTAGAGTGGGTAGTAGAAACTCTGAACTACCTCACAAGCATTTCTTAATGTAGCATATGCTGTGAGAACATCTGCTAAATGGCTTCCAAAGCGTGCTGGGTCCCATAAGGGTTATGATAAGCAAATGGTCCTCGCCCACATGCTTTATCTCCTGGGGTTCACACACATTTCTGTTCATGATTCTTCCAGGTTTGGGGGTGCCATATCAGTCAAAGACAGTTATATTTGCGGAAAGAACTATCTCAAGCTTTGGGTCCGCAGCAGGGCCAGGCCTGCAGCTAAGCCCACAGCAGCCATGGAGCACCTGCACCTCCTGCCAGACACCCTCAGCAGCCTGAGCCCCTAGATGGCCTGTCAGGTTCCCAGAGGCAGTTCTTCAGGCTTTAATGAATAAACAAATTCAAGGTTACATATTAATAACAAGGTAACATTTAATGTTATCTCTTCCCATCCAATATTTGATTTTAACTGTGGACTTCTACTATAACTCAAGAAAAGAGACTAATGAAGGGATTTTGTTCTTAGGGATTTGGGGGAGGGTGTATATAGGGAAAGACCCTGCCAAGGTCCATAAAAATCATATCTTTAAAACATTCACTAAAATATTGGCAGCGTATTCTTCAAATTGCACATAATGAGCTTGTATTCCTTTTATAAAGGAAAGAGTAGACTTTTTAAAATAGAAAAACTGATGTTCCAAATGCAGCCATGTATTCCGCCTACAGATAAGACCACCCAGGCCTACTTGTCTAAATAAAGGTATTCTTCTCTCCATCCCATGCAGGCTAAACGTTTTTAAGTTTCTAATCTGGTAATACATATATTTTTCAAATCATTAGTTATTTGTCGTGATTTGAAGATACTGCTAGGATCAGTTTAGACAAATGTTATACCAAGGAGATAAATTCTTGCCTAGTGTCTGTCTTCCTCCATCTTCCAGGCCCGCATATAGATTGTCCCAGGGCCGAGCACTCGTGGGCAGTCTCACTTCAGCTCCTAGTCAGTGACCGCTCCAAATCTGAATACTGCTCTTTCCCTATTTCACTCCACCTTGCTCACTTCCCTCAAAAAAGAAGAAAGAATCTCAATGAAGCTGACTCACAATTTTCCTCTTTGTCTTTAGATAAGACCCTACAGAAATCATCACAAGAAAGTTGGTGACTGCCCTGGCCGGTTTGGCTCAGCGGTTAGAGCGTCAGCCTGCCGTCCAGAGAGACCCAGGTTCGGTTCCCGCTAAGGGCACATACCTCGGTTGCAGTTTGTCCCCGGACCTGGTCAGGTGGTATGGGTGGCAACCACTCGATGTTTCCCTGTCACATCGATGTTTCTCCCTCTCTCTTTCTCCCTCTCTCTCCCTCTCACTGTATCTGAACAAAAAATGGAAAGATGTCCTTGGGTAAGGATAAAAAAAAAAAAAAGTAAGTTGGTGACTGGCCTCAACTGAAGCAGAGCCCAGTCAGTGTCTTGCTGAGAGTATATACCTAGGGCACACTGTGAGAGAGAGAGAGAGAGAGAGAGAGAGAGAGAGAGAGAGAGAGAGAGAGAGAGGAAGGAAGGAAGGAAGGAAGGAAGGAAGGAAGGAAGGAAGGAAGGAAGGAAGGAAGGAAGGAAGGAAGGACCTTTTCTTAATTCTTAGTTATAGTGTTGGATCCCTGACTTTGCTATATTAATTTCATTTTATTCTTGTGCTCCAACCATCTTTTCTCCTTTTCATATATACGGGAGGGCCTTTATTAGAAAATTCTTTAATCTTGTCTTTTCCAGGTTAAGCAATTTGTTTATTTTAGCTTTTCTCATTGGTCCTATTCTCTAGCTATTACAATTAACTGATTTCCTCTCACTTAAATCCCTGGTGTTGAGGAAGATCAAATTGTCTTCCAGTAAGGATCTGCCCTGACCTGAGAGTAATTACACAGTTGATTAGTTCATGAGCCATTTGTGCTATTTAATTCTCAGTAAACAGGCTAGCTGGCACCCTGTAGAATTTTCCTGGTGACCATTAGAGATTGGGCCAGCACTAATGAGTGGTTGAACTCTCATAGTAAATCAGAGCATCAGACAAACAGTGTTAATATTACTGTTACATGCAATATATATGTCACAAAGTAGATTAATTATAAAGTGAATCTATACTGCAAGCTTTCTCTATTAGGAATAAATTTCTTTATTTAGGAATAAGTCAAATACAATATTGACAAGGTTGGAATCAAATGTTTTGCCTCCATTTGTGTAGTTGCTTTGGAGACTTCTTTTTTTTTTTTTTTTTTAATCCTCACCCGAGGACACTTTTTCATTCTTTGTTCAGATAGAGCAGGAGGGAGAGAGAGAGAGAAACATCGATGTGAAAGGGACACATCGAGTGGCTGCCACCCGCACGACCAACCAGGGCCGGGGACAAACTGCAACCGAGGTACATGCCCTTAGCGGGAACCGAACCCTGGTCTCTCCGGACCGCAGGCCAACACTCTAACTGCTGAGCCAAACCAGCCAGGGTTGCTTTGGAGACTTCTTTAAAGACCACCCCACCTCTTGTTTTTAGACACTTTCTCCTTCACTCTTAGCATTGAAATCTAAGGACTTTACAGTATCAATTTTTTTCTTTCATATTTAACTCTTTTTAATTGTTGATACTATTACACATGTCCCCCATTTTCTTCCCCTTTACCCACCTCCATCCAGCCCCTGGCCCTCCTCCCTATGGCCATCACCACACTGCTGTCTTTGCTCATGGACTATGCATAGATGTTCTTTGGCTAATCTCTTCACCTTCTTCCATCCAGTCCTCTCCCTCCCTCCTCTGACCTCTGCCAGTCTGTTCCATGTATCCATGCCTCTGGTTCTATTTTGTTTATCAGTTTATTTTGTTCATTAGATTCCACATATTAGTGAAATCATATGGTATTTGTCTTTCTCTGACTGGCTTATGTCACTTAGCATAATAATCACCAGGTCCATCTATATAGTTTTTTAAAAAAAATCCTCACCCAAGGATATTTTTCCATTTATTTTCAGACAGAATGGGAGGGGGAGAGAGAGAGAGAACAAAAGAGAAACATTGATGTGAGATGAACACATTGATTGGATGCCTCCCGCACGACCCCAACCAGGGCCGGGGACCGAACCACAACTGAGGTATGTGCCCTTGACCAGAATCAAACTTGCGACTCTTTGCTCCGGGGCCGATGTTGTAACTGCTGAGCCAAAGCGGCCAGGGCAGATACAGTACCATTTTATAAGGTCACAATATTATAATGCCAGGGAAAAAATATTAAAGAAGAAATCCTTAATATGCAAAAACAGGGTACTTTTTCCTATCAGTACAAAGTCTATATTTTTAGAAAGCTAGAGTCTGTATGCATCACAGCCAAGGGCAATGCATCAAATCTGAAAAATAAACAACTCCAGGGGTCCTTGGACCTATAGCTGTCATTCTGTATCAGTAGGGTCTGTCTGTCTGGGGAAGCATTTATTAATTAATCCCCTCACTTGAGGTCATTGCTGCCTTTCTTTGCTATGTAGACTGTACTCTTGCGTCTGGCTTTACTTAAGTTTAATATTTAAACAAAATGTTTACCCTGGAAGGATTTTTTCTGATGTGAAGCCAGTTGTGTCTGGAATCATGATATTTTCACAAGCTATGTGTCCTTACCAGACTCATAGTCCTTGCACACATGTTCTCCCTTCAGAGGTTATGCACCAGAAAGGAGAAGAAAGGAGAGGCAAGGCCAACTGACCCCCTAATAGTGCGGCACCCACCCGCCCTAGGGGTACTCCATCTCTCAAAGAAAGGGCTCTAAGCCTCAGCATAATTTAAAACTTTTGGAAGCTGCTAGTAGGCAAATGACAGAAACCAGCTATTGTGAGATATAATATGTGTTCTTTATTTTATTTGCAGTGGTGGTAAAAATCCACATTTCAATTCTATTGTTTTCATGGTAGTCTTCATTTCCCTTCCTCCTCTTCTTCCTGTCCCCTTTTCCAGCTCCTTTGCATTCTCCCCAAATAATGGCCAGATTCCCATAGGACTCCTGAAGAAGGTCAACAAAGCCACCGCTATTTGCTGGCTCTCTTCCAGCGATTGCCCCAGAATAAGGCAGCTGGCCCTTCGTCGCAAAATGCTCTCCCTCAGTGGGCTGCCCCGTGGCAGTTCCCAACACGGCTGGACTTCTGGCATGAGCACAGAGGCCCCATGTGTTGACGATCTCAGAGGTAGCGTCTTCCATCCCTGAGAGAGCCGATCTGGAGAGAAGGAATGTGAGGAGGATGTGTTTATTTGAATTCTAGCCAATTTAATAGCATCTAAAGGTTTTTGTGTTTTTTTAATGACATATCTTTTTTTTTTTACAAGGTTCTTGGGGAATGAGCCAACTATAAGAGAATGTCAAAATGTATTCATACTGAACATGTGGACTTCCTCATATGTCAAAGGAGGTGGTTGGACTAGATATTTCTAAGACCACTTCTAGCCGTAAATTCAGCTGTACAAAAATCAAAGTGGTATCAATGTACACAGGGACCTGCAAACCTCCAGGGAGAGAGGTTTATTCAGAGTTGAGGAAAGGAGAGTTGGGGGAGGACTGGACCAGTTACTGCAAATGATAAGTGTATCATATTCCCATGACTCCCCAGACCTGGTACCTACAACTCAATTCAGGACTCAGAGAGACAAAGAAGCCTGCCCCAGCCTTCCTGGAAATTGGGAGTAGAAAGTGAAAGTAGGGACCATACTCCAAAGTGAAGAGTGTTAAAGCACCTGGACTGCGCCTGAGATACTGATCTGTGGTCATTCAGAGAGATCGGATGATTTAAGACTCAGTTACTGCACCAATGTCAAGTTAAGCACACAGCTCTGCCTTTTTACTAGCTCTGACCTTGGATAAGTTACTTTGAACCTCAGTTTTCTCATCTACAGCAGTACTTCCTTTGCAGGGCTATGTGGGGATAAATGAGATTAAGCAATATAAATCCCACTTTACATTATTATTTTTGTTATTATTGTCATTGGGGTCACTGGCCTAGAAACTGATTTGAGGCCTTCAATCTAGAGAATTATGATACCAAATGAGCCATTAACCTAAAAGAGCTATAATAATTGATGAACAAGAGAAGCTTTTTTATTAGCATAAATAAAAAAGCCAGGAATCAGCCCGGCCGGTATGTCTCAGTGGATTGAGTGTCAACCTCTCAGTGGACTGAGAGGTCCCGGTTTGACTCCTGGTCAGGCACATGCCCAGGTTGTGGACTTGATCTCCCGTAGGGGGCGTGCAGGAGGCAGCTGATTGATGTTTCTCACATCAATGTTTCTATCTCTCTCTTCCATCCTCTCTCTCTAGAAAATCCATAAAAACATTTTTTTAAAAAAGAGCCAAGAATCAGTAGTAACAATAAGAAAAGAATATAGATGGTCTTTGAGTCCCAGTAATGAAACCAAACACCACTCTTCCCTTGATTATCCTCTACTTTGTATTGTCTAAATGTGGACTAGCCAGTTGTAACCCAAATAAATCTGGGGTCCACATGACCTGGTCTTCTTTCTTTTCTCATTCCTTCAAAGAAAGTCAATGCAGTAACTCTTAAAGGACATCACAGGAGATTCAATTAATAACCCACAACTTTAGTTTTAATAGTCCCAATGTCTCTATGTCTTATACCTTGTAGTTACCTATCTCCATCTACCTGTATAACTCCTACCCTTATTTCAAGGCCCCATATATCTGATCACCTTCATGAAACCCTCCATCTGTCTCTGGTTATCCACCTTAAATGCACTCAGCATGCCTTCACAATCAGGTCTAGGACTGAAATGTCACTCTGAGCCTGCTATTGGCCATGAGTCTTGCTCCCACACCCACTTTGGTCTGCCTTAACTGATCAGTAACCTGGGCTCTTCATGACTTTTCCAAATTGAACCTTTGTTGCCACTTTTCCATCGGATTTCTTGTTCTTTTTCAACCTGGTTTTTGTTTGTTTCCTTAGCTCAGACCTTTGCCTACATTGTGGAATGTCTACCAAGTGTGGTTCTGAGCCCCTAAATATTATGTTCCTGGTACCTGTTCTTTGGTTTCAAGAACTCTGGTCTTACAAACCATGTCCCCACACCCTGCCATGGGTCACCTCCTAGCCAGAGGTGCCTGTATGAGTAAGTTCTTCACCTTCCTGAGCAACCCCAGCCTCTGATTTTTTGTCTCCCTTATAAGATTTAGGAAATCTTTACTACAAAATGAGCACTTCTTCACCTACTTAAGTTTAATGTTTTAATATTATAACACTTGTGTATATTCTAGTGATTTCTAAATATAAAAGTTTTTTGAAAGATGGGGCCATATAATTTTTTTAGCTTCTCTACAGTGTTGAGAAAAGTATTCAATAGACACTTGAAACTTATTTGTTTACAGGGTCCTTTGCAGAATGTTCTAAGGCATATCTATATTGTACTGAATGTCATTTTGTCCATAACTTGGGCTTAATATTAGGTAGAATGGCTCTGCTTTAGATCATTTTGACATAATGCAATCCCAGAATAGTTAGAGGTGATATGCCAGGAATGACCACACTTAATCTTCACAGTAACTGTGTGAAATGCATTCCCACTTCACAGATGATATTCAGAAAAGAAAGTAAATTACTTTCCAAAAGCCAACTGCTAATAAGAGGGCATCACTGAGCCCTGGCTGGTTTGGCTCAGCAGTTAGAGTGTTGGCCCGCAGACCAGAGAGTCCTGGGTTCAGTTCCCACTAAGGGCATGTACCTTGGTTGCAGTTTGTTTTTGGCTCCGGATGGGGTAGTGTGGGTGGCGACCACTCAATGTGTCTCTCTTGCATCAATGTTTCTCTCTCTCTCTCTCTCTCTCTCTCTCTCTCTCTCTCTCTCTCAGAAGGAGCTGTCAGAGCCCTAGCACCAGGAGTCCAGTGTCCTTTTATATGTTCCACATAGGAAAACTGTTTCCTTCCCAGATCCTCAGAGTGCAGCTTGCTATGTCACTAGATCTTGGAGACTGGGATGCTAACAGTTTGGTGTCACTTTTAGGACACCATTGTCAACTGATGGGATGGTTTCCAAGGAGAATCCCATGAGTCACTGAAGGAGCAGACATGCAGGGTAAAGAAGCAAAAGCTGGGGAATGTCCTGACCCCACCAAAATTTACAGAATATCTTTACCCACTCGCTCTATACCCAAGAGCACCTTAATCAATAATAAAATGCTTTAGAGTGCTAGATAGCTCTATTACCTGGAAAGTGGATAAGGAGCTCTTTGTACCGAAAGCATCTGAAGAAGCAATGAAGGACAAAGATGGGGCTGGCGGCCACTGAAGATTTAATTTTAGAAGTACGGCTCAGGGAGTTTTGTACAAAAACAGATATCATCTGAGTGCTGCACTATTTCGGCTTTATCTCCAAGTTTTTGTATTGTAAACGTCTGTGTGTGAGTGTGTGTGTATCATCTGTTGCCCATATTTTTGTGAAATGCACATATTCAATCACGCCATCAATTTAAGGTTTTAGGTGTGATGTTCCTAAATAATCCCACAGTAATTATTTGCCGTTGTAAATGAATACCTCATACCTCCCTGTCTTGATCATTGGACTGCACAGAACACAGAAAGCGTAAGGGAGGAATAAAGGAAAATGTTGAGTTTTCCCCCTACTCCCTTTCTGTGCCATTGTCAGTTCCATGCGTGACTGTGAGGCTGTGGGCCGAGGGCAGCCAGGGGACACACAGATGAGAAAGCCCAGTTTACAAGAAGCTGTCTTTGTTGACTCTCTTGTGTTTGCCTCTGCTTGTCTTTCCCTATTTCCTTTGTAAGATAACAGCATTGGAACCAACATAAAATTGTTGTAGCTGTTTTATTCCCGAGGGTAAACATAACACTGGATGTTTGTCATTGTAGACAGCAATAAAGATAAACTTTTAAAGAAGACTTGAAAAATATTGTTAAAGCATTAAGTTGAGAGAAAGGCTGGAAATCTTTTACCCATACATGCTTCTTTCCGTTTTATCTTAGACCCGCAGGAGTAGCAGGCAGACTAGAGAAAATGGGAGGAAAGAAAAGAAGAAAGACGAGTTGACTTAACCTCAAGTTTATCCCATTTTGATTTTCTTATTGCACTCTCTCCTGTTCAAGTTCTGTATTGGTAATACTTGAAAATGAGTACTTCAAAATTTTATTTCCACTTCTAATTCTTGATTCTTCTCCTTATAATTGATATTGTAGTTAATTATTCTCTATTGCCCCCTCCAGAATAAAACTTGATAGATTAAAGAAAAGGCTTTATTTTCTTTTTTATGTATATTCTTTTTTACTTCAATACTAATATCAAATTAACCAGTTAATACTGGAAGCAGTAAATCAATCGTTAAGCATTAACTTTTGATTTCTACAGACTGGTTTTTACTCTGTTACTAGAAATATGATCTTGGGCAAGTTAGTTAACCTGTATGAGTCTTGTTTTCTTCATCTATGAGAGGAGGATTATAAAAGTACCGACCTTATCAGGTACGCTATTTATTAATGTGTTTAGGTCTCATAACGCAAAGGAATAATCTCACTGTTATTCCCATTTTATAGATAGGACATTTAGAAAAAGTCAGTTAGTAACTTACCTGCCTCTGGACACATGTTAAATAAGTGCCAGAGTTGAGCTTAGAACCCAGGCACTCCAGGTCCCGAGCCCACTTTCTTAACTTCTAAGTTGTTGCCTCGAGGTGTACCCCTTTAAGGCCACGTCCTCAGGTCCTGTTGCTGGTGGAGGTAGGAAGAATTCAGAGTCAGTGCCCAGGCATCCTCAAAGAGCACCTCTGCCTGCAGCTTCCTAGTCCTCAGAAAGCCCTTCATCTGTTATGAGTTAGATTGAGTTGAATTATATCCCCCACCCCAAGTTTATACGTTGAAGTCCTAACCCGTTACCTCAGAATGTGATCTTATTTAGAAACAGGGTCATTGCAGAAATAATTATTTAAGATGAGATCATATTTGAGTTGAATGAGCACCTGATCCAATACAACTGGTGTCCTTAAAATGAGGAAATCTGGACACAGACAGGCACACAGGGAGACTGCTATGTGAAGATAAGAATTATGCTGCCACAAACCAAGGCGCTACCAGAAGCTGGGTGAGGTGCCTGGAACAATCCCTCCCTAGTGGCTTCAGAGGTAACATGGCCCTGCCGGCAACTTGATCTCAGACATCCAGCCTCGGGAACTGTAAGATAATAAACTTCCATTGTTTCAGCAACTCAGTTTGTGGTACTTTGTTATGGCAGCCCTAGCACACCCCAACCATATGCACCTAACCTGGTTAGACTCTTCCCACTGTTCAGTCAGTCTTCTCTTCACCTTTCTCAACTCTCTATCTTAATCCCCTGGATTGCTTTCCCCACCCTTTCCGCTGCCTCAGGCTCCTCCCCTTCCTTCTGCCCTCTGAGGCCAGGGCACCCCTAAGGAGACCTTTCATTGCCCTCACCCTCCTGTGACCTCTGGCTCCTTTCTTCCCCAGACTGTTGCTCTTCCTACCATCTGCACTTCCGCTTTCCACGGGCGTGGTTGGTCTTTCTCCTTTTCTCTCTTCCTGTGTACAGTGTTCATATTCATTTTTATCATTTCAGGTGTCAGCCCTGCACCATTAACCCTGAAGCTTATTCCTGTAACTCAGCTTCTCTCCAGAGTCCATGGTCCTCAGTTACAACTTGCTTGACAATCAATTCCACCTGCTGTCTCTTCTGTCCCCAGTGCCCTCTAAACTGCAGAAGTCATCTGGCCCTCTGCACCACCTTCTTCTCTCGTCTCTTCTTCCCAGACAGCCAGACCCCAGAGCTCTCCTTCTTTTCCATGCCCTCCTACAAATCAGTCACAACGTCATCCTGATTCCGTCTTTGCAGGGCCTCTAACACACATGCTTTCTAATCTCACCAGACCATTTCACATCCTCCCGAACAACTTCAGTGGCTTGCTTACTACCCTTCTTGCCTACTCGCTCTAGCTTTCAGCCTTTTTTCATATGCTGCCAGAGTCACCTTCTCACATAGAATTATGTTCATGTCACTACCTTAGCTGTATTGGACCCTGGCTGCATACACAGTAAAGGCCCATCTTAACTGACATTCAAGGCTCCCCTTTAATATAGCCCTAGCTTACCTCCATATTATTCCATAAAATAACTAAGGGACACCAATTATCCACATAGGAAGAGCTTTACTTGGTGCTATCCCTTAATGGAAACTTGATGGTCTAAAACTAGATCATTCTGTCAGAAGTAACCTGGCTAAGCTGAGCTAATTCATGTTCACAAAATTCATGAAAGACACAGCATCTGTTTTATTTGCATTTATACCTGAGTATACAGAGATGTGGCCTTGATTGTGTTTTCATGTTTCCCTAACACCAGGATATATTACTTCTGTAGATTAATAACCTCATTCATAGCATTGGTTTCTTTGTTGATTTGCTTATATATTTGCTCATTTCTCAGCTGCCTTATCTCCAGATTCTAAGGGCTCCTTACTACATGGAACTATCTCAGAATTTCTCTGAATAGATTTTAGGATACAACTCAGCAGCCTCTGAAATCCTGAACAAAACAACATTAGCTGGTCCAACTAGGGCCCCAAAATACAAAGGTACCTTTCTTGAGTTAAACAGCATTGATATTGAATGGGAAAAAAAATAGGAGCTGAAGAGAAGTTGACAAAAAGCAGAGAAGTGGAGCAAAAAAGAAAAACAAGTGATGCATTTGTGAGGAACAGTGCAGTCCTATGGCCTACTGACATCACGTATCCCCTTACTCCCCATATTAGGCAGCTCGGGTGGACTAATTATGATCTTCACCACAATGAAACACCATAGACTGAGTAGCTTAACCAACAGAGATTTACTTTCTCACAGTTCTGGGGGCTGGGAAGTCCATCAGGGTGCCAGGAGATTTGGTTTCTGGTAAGAGCGCTCTTTCTGGCTTGCAGGTGGCCACCTTCTTGTTATGCTGTCACGTGGCAAAGAAAGAAAGGTCTCTCTTTCCCTCTTCATAGAAGACCAGTGTCCTACAGGATGAGTGCCCCACCCTTCTGACCTCATTGAACCTTAATTACCTCCTAAAGACCCTATTTCCAGATACAATTTTACATTGGGGGTTAGGGTTTCAGCACATGACTTTGGAGGAGGGGCACAATTCAGTCTATAGTATGTCCCCTCTCAAAGAAGTATACATAAAGCTTCACTGCTTTAGTGAAGGAGAATGGACGGATAGTGGGATACTTAGATATATAGTGGTGATTAGAGATACAGTAAGTTCTGACCCAACATAACAGCTAATAAGTCTAGGTTATTAGCTAGGCTGGCAAGTTCAGTCTGATGCTATCTTGTTGTTTTAAGATAAGTAAACCTAGGGCTTCAAAGGTAATTCTTCTGGGAGGTCTAAATTTTATTTAATATTTTTTGGACTATGTTTTTTTTTGTTGTTGTTGTTGTTGTTGTTTGTTCATTTTAATCCTACCCAAGGATATTTTTCCATTGATTTTTCAGATAATGTGGGAGGGGGAGAGAGAAACAGCGATCTGAGAGAGGCACATCGACTGGTTGCCTTTCACAGGAAGCCAATTAGGGCCAGGGACTGAACCTGAGACTCTTTGGTCTGCGGGCCTCTGAGTCAAACTGGCCAGGGCTGGACTATGTTTAACTGAACACTTAATCTAGAAAGTTCAACTGTGTTTGGTAGAAATAAATTTACTTCTTTACAGAAAGGCAAACTACATAGATGGGGTTCCCCTTAAATCCTTCCTTGAGTTTGGGTTGTTCAGATGGAGATATCTTAGGTCAGGTTCCCCAGGAAACAGACTCAGATGGAGATTTGGGCACAGAAGGTTTGTTGGGGAGCACAGTTGGGATCAACACCGGTGAAGGAGTGGAAAGAAGCTGTATTAGGCAGATGGAGTTGAACAGTGATACATTTCCAAGAGATGTCTCAGCTGGTCCTATGGGAAGCTCAGGCAGTGAGATGGACCTTCAGCATATCCAAGAGTTGAGGGAAGGGGGCCAGGCCTTTGTACCCTCATGTTGACCAGTCATTAAATGTTGGCATAACTTTTGGCACGGTGGCTCGCTTATGCAGAGGGCCATTCCCAGAAAGGGACGCAGTCATGAGCCTTCAGCAGGTAGCACTTCTCAAAGCTTCAGTCCACCAAAGGGAGTCTGGCGCCACATCACTGCACCACTGTGCAGGGTAAGGGCTGGGCCAGCAAGCCATTAATTACATATCAAAATCTATTGACCTTCCTTTACTTGGGATTCATTTTTGTTTTGCTTTTTCTTCTTCTTGTGGTTCAAAGATCATCCTTGTGCTAGAGGCTAAATATTTTGCATGTAGGAGCCCTCTGAAAATTTTAGGTGTGGCCAGCTAAGGCTAGTCATTAATTGTAAAACTAAAATGCACAATATCTCCAGTCATGTCATTACAAGCATAAGGGAAGGAGGAACTAGAACCAGTTGTATACTTAATTGAAAATTACTGATAGATGATGTGATGAGAAGTACGTTGGAGACAAGCCTGGACATTTATTATGGAGGAACCGATTTCTACTGAAGTACGTGTGGTTTTCGTAATCTTCCTGGACTTTTGTTCTCTGAGATTGTCTATGTTTGTTTGCAGAGGAGTTATGACTATGGGATATGGTCCGCTGCCGTATGTGTTCCTTAACACTTGACTGTTAATTAGTATGGTTAGGTTTAATGAAGTCATTTAATAACAATCTTCCTGCTGAGAATTTTATTAGGTACTAAATTCTTAAGTTTAATAATGCAAAACATATTCGTAGAGTGTTAATAATGGCTGCAGGACTTTCAGACAGTAAAATACTGGAAGGTTAAGTGTAATGGATTAATTAAATAAGAAAGCCCAAACTACCTTTCAAAGTGACTCCATAATGATATTCACTTTGTTCTGATGAATAAAGCCACCTCAAATGCCATTTGTGTGTGTTGGGTTCAAAGCAGCGTTCAAAGCTAGCAAATTTACATCAGAGGAAACACAAACACAGCAAAATATTCTGCTTGGCAAACAGAGTTTTGTTTTCTGTACCGATCCATTAAATTGAATAACTTGATTTCTTACAAAATGTCAACAATATGTTTCTTCCATGTAGAAAAATCAGTGGGACCTCTCCAATCAACTCCTGAACAGCAGCAGCTTGTATCAGCAGTGGTCCACATAAGCATTTGGGAAATGTTTTTAATTGCTTTAATTGCATTTTAGTGAAGTGGCACAAACCTCTCATTATAGCTTTTTCAAAATAAGCAATTCATTTAAATTGGCTAAAAATTTTTAAACTGGTTGTAAGTATTCTTTATGTGATATATTCAAAATTATTTTTAGCAAACTTTTCAGAATGATAAATGTGTTTTGTAATTCATTATCCTAATGCGTTGTTTGGGCCTGGGGAAGGTGTGTTCCTCAGTTTTCACATCTGCACAATAGGGATAGAAACCATGCCAATTAGGATGTGATGAGGCAATATGTGATTAAGTATGCACACGCTGAGTTCTCCAGAGTCCACGGAGGCAATGAGGCAATTGTATCTGAGGATGAGTTTTGTGGATTTTGTTTGTGGAGAGGTAATTACTCCAAACAGGAGTCTGGGGGGAAAGTAATGAACTCAGTTTCCACTCCCAGTAGATTGTAAAAGAGTGACATTTGAGTTTCTGAAATATTTTCTTTAAAGCCTAGAAGTTGTGATTTCCGATAAAATTCATTCCATCACCCTGGGAAGGCACATTAGTTAGGAATGTGGTTAGTTGTTTTATTTCAGGCATCAAGAATTCTGGAGATTATTTTGCTAAGGGAAATAATCCAATCAGAAAAGATAAATATCACATGATCTTATATGTAGAATCTAATGGACAAAATAAACTGACAAACAAAATAGAGACAGAGGCATTGATACATGGAACAGACTGACTAATGTCAGAAGTGCAGGGGGAGGCGAACTGGATGAAAAAAGGTGAAGGGATTGGCCAAAAAACATTTATGCATAACCTATAGACTGATAACAGTATGGTGATGGCCAGAGGGAAGGGAGGGTGGGGGCAGGGTGGAGGTGGGCAAGGGAGGGGTAAATGAGGACATGTGTAATAGTGTCAACAATAAAAATAAAGTTAAAATAAAAGAATTCTGGGGTAGCCCTGGCCGGTTTGGCTCAGTGGTTAGGTGTTGGCCTGAGTCCCATGAGACTCAGGTTCGGTTTCCGGTTCCCACTAAGGGCATGTACCTCAGTTGCAGTTTGTCCCCGGCCCTGGTTGGGTTGTGTGGGTGGCAGCCACTCGATGTGTCTCTTCAT